ACAAATATATATAAGAAATTAAAAATAAGAAATTAAAAACAAGAAATTAAAATAAGAAATTTAAAATTAAAATTAAAATTAAAAATTAAAAATAAGAAATTTCCGACGGATTTATATTTCCGTCAAAAATTTCTGACGGAAATATAAATCTGTCAGAAATTTCTGCCAGAATATTCTGTCAGAAATTTTTCGTCGGAAAGTTTCCGTCGGATTTATATTTCTGTCAAAAATTTTCGACGGAAAATTTCTGACAGAAAATTTCGTCGGAAATTTTCTGTCGGAAATTCATTTTTCTTGTAGTGAAAGAGTCCAAGAAGTTAAAGATCCGTCCAAAAAGCTTTAAGGAGAAACTACATCAATCAAGTTTCTTCTAAGGTTTCTATCAAATATTTTGTTCAAAAATAAGAAATGAGTGTATTAATTAAGGAGTTTTAATTCTACATTTGATATTATGCTAAAGGATATTAGGGACATATTATTGGTCCTTACAATAGACATTTTGTCCATTATACGAATGAAAAAAAATATGAATAAATGGTGATGGGTTATTACTAAAGTAAAATCAAGAAGACCGTATTCAAGGAACATGAATAAACACTAAATTTTAAGTTTTTTTTCTTGGAGATGCATCTATCTCGTTGGCTTAATGGATTCACTTCTTATAATTCAATGACTTAAATTGATTTAGTTTGTTATGTTTTTATAATTTGTGTCATTGGCTTTTAAGTTCACATTTTATTTCTTATATTATTATTTTTATTGTGTCATTTATATTTTATTCCCTTAACTTAAATATGATAGTGAGTCATCAAACATACGTAAGTTAAAAAATGTTAGAGACATTCCATTGGTAGGTTTGACCTACATTTGTTTTCATTGTACTAAGAAATGCGATAGTAACCTAAGAAATGTATGCATTAATTAAGGACATATATATCATTGGTTCTATTGACAAACATTTTGTTCATTGTACATATGATAGTTACCTAAGAAACATATGCATTAATTAGGGACATAACATTGATTTTATATATCGACAAACATTTTGTTCATTGTTCATTGTTCTTTGACTTAGTTGATGGTGAAAAGCTAATGTATTGAGAGGTTATGATGGGGAATAGAGGAGGACCTATTATTTGTACCATAATTAAAATGCATCTTGTAAAGAGGTATAATGAGTCATAAGATTTTTTTTAAGGGGTTGCTTTAATAATAATTTCTCTGGTTAGCAATTTGTTTGGATTAATTTTATATATTTTGAAAGTGTTGTAAAATCACATTACATTTTTATTCTAAACTACCCATTTTTAAATTATTATTCATATTTTTGTGCATCACACGGATCAATGAACTTGTCTAAATTAAATGCTCTTATACCTTCACAGTTGCGAATGTCATTTTATTCGAGTAACTCCTTGTGTACCTGCATGGAAGGAAGGCAAATGATTCACAAAGATTTGAACACATTCTCATAGAAAAAGTATAACATGGAAAAAAAATAACAATAATTGTGAATCATAGGCACCACTACAAAATGATGCGTCAACATATTAGACACAATACTTATCAAGCATATCTTAGACGATCATATTGGACACCGCCTTTGTGTCCAGATCAATTGTGTTAAGTGCCATAATAACAAAATAATAACTCACAACTAAAATGAGAAATGAAAAAGGAGGAACTAACTAAAAATAATAATGGACAAAAAGAAATGAAAATTTTACTAAATAAAAGAAATTACAACATTTCTCTCTCTAAATACAAAAAGAGTACAATAACACTATCTAGAAAAAAAAAAAAAGACAATATAACCTTTAAGAGAACTTCAAAGGGGAAACTTTTTTCTCTCTCAAATTTTCTTTAAATAAACAACAACAAAAAATTAAAGGAGGAAGGCACTTATGGAATGTTCTTTTGCTTTATATATGCTAAGTGGGGTAGCCAAAAAAGAGAACAACATGAGGAGGTCTTCTGCTTCAAACTGTTGGTGAAGTTAGTACTTCATAAGTTAAAATAAGATTGGAAGATTTGGATTTCTTATTAATTAATTCATAAAGTGGAAAATATGAATAAGGTGTATTTTCTTTTCTAATATTTTTTGCCTGCACTATATACTAGTAAAGATCATTTTATAGGTATCACTTAGCATGCCTTACCAAATGATCTTTTCTCTATACATATAAATTTTTTGGATCAAACTATGAAAATATATAAGTAAATGTCTAATTCTAACATATGATCTGCTATTTGGTTTTTCAAGTAAAACAAATAAACATTAATTATATAATGGCTAAAGTTTAATGCTTACCCTGCAACTTGTCCTTCTACAAGCCATGGTCTCCAATCTTCCACAATGGAGTAGTTTAGAGCCCTAATCCATGCTTCAGTTGACATGAAAGGAACAACTGCATCATGATCCCCACTATCCACAAAACACCAATTATCATATGAAATTAGTTAATTGTTAACATCCCTGAGAAATTTGAAAGAACAACACTAAACATATGGAAACAACAATTTTTAGAGAAATAAAATCCAACTTGGATGTGAAAATCTTTACCTATATATTAAAGAATGGTAGCCTTTTACACTGAGATTTACATGAAACTCAAAGCTACTAGAGATCTGATGCTTAAAATCAGAAGTGTAACAACGTTCCCATTTGTCTATAGTTCCCTACAATACATTAATATGTATGACATCCATTAACTTCTATAGCAATGAGCATATAGACTAAAGTATTTGTTACCAAGTATTATGCAAAATTACCAATATTTACATAATGAACTATATGTTTATACCAAACCTCTCGAATATGAAGCGACTTCTGAACACTCTCATCATTGGCCCATTTTGTGGCAAGGAAAAAACCATAAATCTACAATAGTGTAAATTGGAAAAATCAAATTTGAAACATTGTGGACAAAAATTGTGTGAGTCTATACAAGGTATGCAAAAATTACTTGACATCTTGTGTCTGGCACTCTGAGATGAGAATTAAGAGAGTCCTCAAACTTTTGATTCAATGATCTCCTCCACAAAGATTCATGTTTCTTAGGCGAATCATCTTCGCAATAACGATCCAAAATGTTATACATATTAATTCCTAAAAGGCACTGAGGATAGGAAATAATATTTATTAGCATGGTGGTTGGTGAACAAACTCAACTTATTTGAATAATAAGGGCAGAAGGGATTATCGTAATAAAAATGAAATGGTCATTACTTAATTACCTTATCAAAGTAGTTGAGATCTCTTAAACATAATTCATTTATGGAATCTACATTTGTATACTCTCCTTTGCAATTTCTCTGTAGTGACTGTTCATAGATAGTATATGATTAAGACTTATTAGCATTTCTTCAAACATATTATATTTTTAAAATGAAATGTACATAATGTTGATATGACTCTACCGAAATGTATATAGATTTAATCATTCATATACTATCAGTATAAAATTTTTTACACTGACAACTAATCATATTTTTTAAATTATATGACTCTACCGAAATGTATATAGATTTAATCATTCATATACTATCAGTATAAAATTTTTTACACTGACAACTAATCATATTTTTTAAATTATTTATTTTATTTTTATTTCATTAAATAAGTAACTGACATAGCACTATTAAAAGACATGATTAGTTGTCATTACACTGACAGTGTATAGGTGATTAACTCATATATAAATGATACTCTATTTTCATGCCAAATTTAGGTACAAATATATAAGCAGTCTAGATCAACTTTATTGGAAAATACAACGTAAGTAGTCTTATTAATCAGGAAAAATGGATTATTTTTACCGCATAGAGCTCATCAGAAATAAGTCCCATTCCATGAGCAAATGGGATTTGATCATTTTTTTCTTTTCGTGTTGTCGTGGGGTTCCCTAGCAAATATCCCTGAAAATATCTTAATATTAATTTAGGCTTCGTAATCCAAAAAAGGAATTGATACTATTACAAGTTACAACTTTGAAATGGTGAAAACTTGCTTGAATGTTTTGGAGTTTTGAAAATTTGACCCTGCTATCAAAACTTACTCCAGAATTTTCTTTGGCCTACTGTAGTAAAAGCATAGACAAAGAAATCGATTGCAAACCTGGAGATTTATGTGTGGTTGGAGTCCTATTTCATTTCCTGTTAATCAAGGAAATTGTGAAATAACAGTTAGCTTTATTATAATTATATGTGCATGGTAATCCTTTTATATGCGAGTTATATGTAAAATGATCTAGTTTATATATATGCTTCAATTACAGAAACCAAGCAAAAATATGCCTTTAACTTGGTAAACTACTTAATGCTTTTTTATAGTTAATACAATACATTTTAGTGTATGCCAAAAGAAGTCAAATTTTCAGTTAAAATTGATGACAAAGTTCAACCATTAAAATACTTACATATGGTTTAGTATTAGAACATTTAAAATCTTAAGATAATTGTTTAAAAATAATTAAATATTAAATTACCCTTGTTAGTAAAAACGAAAAAAAATGAAATCTTTTTATGGAAAAATATATTTAAATTAAAAGCATTACAACTCATTGAGCAAATGTACACTCTCTGAACTAAATAATATATCTATGCATGTGCTTGTTGTTCTCACGCACAACAAGCAATATGAGTGTAATTGTACCTATATTGTTATCTTAAATTATTTTTTAAAGGACTCAAACTTTGCGAAATTAAATACGAACTAGTGTGTAAAATTATTTTTCATTTATTTTATATTATCAATACACGAAGTTTTCCGGGGAACAGAATCATAAAAGAATTGATATAAGGGAGTCATTAAGTGATTGATTAGGGTATAATGAGGAAACAATTTAGATAAATACATCCAATCTTGGCTTGGAATTTTTGTTTTGCTTACTTGACCATAGGAGAATCCAAATAATTGGTGTATTAGTACAAGATTATTAGTTAAATGATTAAGAAACATTTTCTGCCACATTGTCATTATAAATTGCAATGACATTAGCCATTAGTTGAATAATGTATTCATCTCATTAATTGAGCCGTATGTTTTGCCAACTTCTTTAGACCAAAGGAGAATCCGAATAATTAGTGTATTAGTGTGAGAATATTAGTTAAAATGATTAATTAAGAGAAACATTTTCTGCTACATTGTCATTATAAGTTGTAAATAAAAGACAATAGCTATTAATTGAATAACTGTTTCATCTTATGAATTAAGCCATATGGATTTGGTTTACCATTTGAAATTTCTTGAACAACAGCAGGGGTAGGAATGCCAGAGTATGAATCAGCTCCCATGTAAAATTCATTTGAAATAAATTCTGGGTGATCAATCAGCCACTACAAATATTACCAGATAAAGATCGTGGCTTTATAATAAAATGATCAAATTAAACCATATACAAACAGAACTTGACATGAAAAATGATGACAGTGACAAGTGAGTGTACCTTTCTAAGGAATTGGTGGGTATGGTGAACTAATTTCCAGTCACTCCTTTGAGCAGTGAGATTTTTTGCATATGAGAAGCCACTTCCGAAAGGCAAATCTACAAAAATAATGCTACTTACCTGACTAAACAAAACATTAACATTAGTTGCACCACATCATCATCCAATAACAAAATGTTAAAAATTAAAAAGCATTTAACAAGTATTATACTCTGTAAACACTAAATAGTTATCTCAACTCATTATGCAACAACATGCTTAATATAAATTTATGTTTAGATTAACTTTAGCAAATGAAAATCAATGTGTTTACAAAAAAAAAAAAAAAAACAAATGAAATCAATGTCAAATGGTTGAGTATGCATTCTGTAAACTACACCTTCGTCCAAGACTGCGGCCTCAAGATCAACTTTGGTATGCTCCCATCATACTCCTCAATTTTGAATGCAAATGGACCTATTTACATCCAAACGATGACTTAAGTCATTCTGTGAAAGTTATAGATTGAATCTCTTTTAGTAAAATCAATACTCCTTAGTACGCTATTATAAGAAAAAAAAATCTGATTTATGTATAATAAAAAAATTAGTTATTGTGTTAAATTTTACTAATTCCACGATGTTTTTCTTAAATTGTTTTTATAATAAACGTAAAAAGAAGTAGTGAAACTGAAATCTAGAGATATTTATGAAAAAATATCATTAAATGAGACAAAATAGTTAAAATTTAATAATATTTTAGAAAAAAAATATGATTTTTTAATTTATAATAAAGAACAAAAGGTGTATTAGTGAAAAATCAAACCAAACCAAAAAAAAAAAAATGAAAGCACAAACCACTTGTTACTAGCATTGTTAGTATTTAAGCATATAAAGAGAGTTCAATATAAAAGATTAATCTATCTATCCATCTATTTACCTGTTTATAATATATAAACATTGAAAAACACAACTATATGTTGATAAGTGTAAAACAATATGTTTATATCTGGTCGTAAAACAATATGTTTATATGTGGTCCTATCACATGTTTTGTTGATGTGTCATTTTTTTCTCTTCCATTTATTTATCTTTATGTCTCTTTCAATGCTCAACTTTTACATATACTCAATCACTTTAATTTCATATTCTTTTTTCTTAAAAAAAGAACTTTAATTTAAGATTAAAAGTTTACTTTCATAACTTATTTCAATGACTTTAAAATCTTTACAATTCCTTGTTTTTTTCACAAACAACAGAAATATCATTAAATGTATCTAAAACTTTTGCATTGTTATATATTTTGCAAATGATATGGGAACAGACAAGATGAAGTGCCTCGACAAAAAAATCATGTCTAAAATGGTGAAAACTCGTCCCGATGAATCTAATTTTTGCTACATTATACTCATATACATTTAAAAGAGAAATGACACTTTTAATCAAATAATTTAGGATCATTCCATGTATATGACTCGAAGCATAATATTGTTGCACCCATCATAATGTTCAAAGAAAAAAAGTGAAGAAAAATATAAAAGGAGGCAAAAAAATTGTACTATAATTATAAAGTTATTTTGAATTATATTAATATATTTAAATTTCACCTCTTATTTTATTTAATGTGAGATTCTTTGTTAGAAATCTAATTTTGGAGTTCACATGCATGTCTCTAAATTGGTATGATATATGTATTATTCACTTTAGGCTTGAATTTTCATGGTTTTACTTTTTGTTATCCTCCAAAAAGTTTTAAACCAATAAAGTATTTGTGTGTTTTATAAACTCTTATTTCTCTTTTAGTCTTAGCGATGTGGGACCTTGTTTATATCCAAATAAACAAAAGACCTAATCTCTTATTCAATGAAATCTATCTTGCATTGCATTGCATTTTTTTATTATTGTTTGTATGTATGGTTATAGGTTACTGGTTGTCACTGAATTCAACTAACAGCTCTAATATGATTGTTATGGGTATTTTTTTGAACTTGTTTGAGAAAATATATTTATATCAAGAGAAGAGCTATATTTAATTATTTTTATCGAGATATTTAGGATATTTACACAAACATCTTATACTATATTTGCCCTGATACTAATGATGGGTTATTTTATATCTGTATTTTGTAAATATATGTTTTTATCATAGGAGCATGACCTAATTTTATTGATGAGCTCTCTATATATAGAAAAAACAAATTGTGATATAAGAATAAAATACTAATATTATCCTATTCTAAAAATAAGAAAACAAATCATAGAATAATCTAAACAAATTAAATTTAAATATTTGAAACAAATAAAAGATTTCTATCAAAATTTGATTTATTCTCCTAAAGATATCTAAGCATATTCCTAACATTTTAACATTATCACTCATTTTAAAAGTTGACATACACGTCTGCTTTGACTCTATCGACATTGACTAAGCGATAGCCCTTAATTTTCTCTATAGCGGTTTCCTTCACCTATCAATATTCGGTTTGTTCACCTTAATTCAACCTACAAGTAACTCTTTGCATAGTAGTCCAACTCTTAATGAACATAACTCAATTTGTGCACCAACCCTTAATATTTAAGTATTTGAACAAAATTCAATGCAAAAGTGATAGAGTATTGGGTTTTCTGTTTGTTGAGAGGTATACATTTATCGAGAGGAGTTTGAAGGTTATATCTTGTTGTGTACTAGGTATTTGTACACACATCTCCATATTGATATGATATTGTCTACTTGAAGATTAAACCCTTATGAATTTATTTTTAGTAATTATCGAAAAGGCTTCTTATTAATAGAGTATTTGTGTGTTTTATAATCCTCTATTTCTCCTTTTGTTCTAATTATGTAAAATCTTGTTTATATCTCAAAAAATGGGCTAATCCATCAATTTTAAGTACTATACTGAATTTCTTGTTATACTTGATATGAAACTCCTAACAAATTTGAAGTCCATGTTTTGCAACAAAATGACTTTTGTATGATGCAAATCTATGCCAAACTGGCTACGGATTTGTATTTGAATACGATAAAATATAATAAATTGAGTTAAAATTTAGATACTACCACATCTATATATAAGTTGAAACTATTACATGATGAGAAGCAACAGGGGAGAGGAGTTTTAGTATATTACAATAAAGTAATTAGTTACTTAATTATCTATATATGATGCTTCTCATTGTGTAATAAAAACAAAAAGTATTATGTAAATATTTTACTCTACCTATGAACATCTGCTTCAACTTGATTCAATATTTTAAGTGCAGTTAATTTTTAAATGTACTCCATATTTTAAAATTTAAACAATCTAAAAAGAAAAGGTCGGGTTAAATAATAAATGCTATCTCAAATAAGTAATAACAGCGACTGTCTTATACATATATGATGATTAGCTAGCAAGTGGAGAGTCAAAAGTAAGTCATGAGAAAAATAACATTGGAAATTGCTTCTTAAGTTCGATAAACTAGAAAGTGGCTGTGTTTGAATAAACTTTTTTAATAAGCACTTGAAAGAAAAGAAAGAGAAAGAAAAAATAAAATGCAAACTACTAATAATAATGTTTGTTTGAAGAATAAACCTATAATTAAGTAGTACCAGACCCCTAGTTGATTCGACGACAACTCATATCTTTTACAAACAATAATAATAAAAAATACAATGATAAAGAAAAATTCTATCAAATAAAAAGTTAGATTCTTTATTTGAGTGAAAAATCGTTGAAATACAAATAAAATCCAACAATATCAAGAAAGAAAGAAAAACATGAGTTTATAAAACACATAACTGCTTTATTAGTTTGAGATTTTTTGAATGATGATTAAAAATGAATACATAAGAGTATAAGTTCAAAACAATATTAATATATCAAAATAGAGATGTACGAGAACAATACACAACAAGATATAATTTCCTTCTTAAAAAATATATACCATTGAAAGACTAATAATAAGAGAACTAGTATTGCATTCATCATCAACGGTTAATATGGCAAGCTGATGTATGCATTGTCCTCTCTTTATCTTTCTCATCATCACATCGTAGCAAGGAGAAATTGATGTAAACAAATTTATATATATAGAGAGAGAGGTGAGACTCACTCAAGAAGTAAGTCTACCTATACTTATTCCTTTCAATAACTCATGTTCAACATTAAATTTTAACGATCTAACCATTGAATTTAAAGTTTTTAATGCATAAATCAAATCTACAAATTTTTAAGAATTTTGAAAATCATTTGATACTTTGTTTCATTAATTTAAATCAATGTATAAAATGATTTTATGATTATCTATCAATTTGAATTAATGAAATAAAGTATTCAATGATTTTCTAATTTTTTTAAAATTTACAGACTTAATTTATGCATTAAAAACTTTAAATTCAACAATTGGATCATTGAGATTTGATGTAGAACATGAGTTATTGAACGGAGTAAGTCTAGATAGACTTACTCTTAAAGAAAACAGATCTCTCAGTATATATAAATATATTTTCTTTTTTTTTTCTCTCCCTACTTTTTTTTCTTTTTTCTCTGTGTCTCCTCCATCCACCCCAACTAGGGCAAAATGTGTTCCCAAAGAGTATTCCAAAGTAGTCAAGCGGATTTGCAGGAACCACATGGGTAAGTGCATATTTGATCCTGTTTGTGAAAAATACAACCTATGTTTCTATTTAGGGAGAAAAAAAAAAGAAGGAAAGAAATGCTCCTATTTATCTCTTTATGTATGTCTTTATCTCTCTACCTAAATATTTTAAGCTAAATAAGTGAGAGACAAATGATAATGGAAGTCATATTAGGAGATATTAATAATAATTTTATCATAAACAATAATATTAATTTCATTTCTAATTCGTGTGCTATCTTGCAAAGTGGATAGATGAAAAAATACAGAGGCAGAGGCACAAAGGTAGTAAAAGATATCCAAAATTGACCTATATTACTGGTCAATGACTAGAATTGGAGTTCACCATTGTGGAATTAGTTAGGATAATACAATCACCACAAAAAAAATAACCTATGGATACAGACACTTTTACCTATAGACTTGAACTAGTGTAGGTAAAATTAAAAAAAAAAATTTACCTACAAATATTTAATGTAGGTATAACTCAAAAATCTATACCTACTTTTGTTTGGTGTAGGCAAAACTCAATACAACTTAAGATTCTTCTAACAACAGATTGTCAATGTAGGTAAAAGCCTTCAAAAACTTATTACTACAAAAAATTAGTCAACTACACTACAAAAATTTAGTTAATTAGTGGCGGTTTTTTTTCGGCGGTTTCAAAAACCGCTACAAAATGTTATAATTCCTGCGGTTATTTTAACCGCCACAAAATAATTAGATTTTGGCGATTTTAAACCGTCACAATGTTTAAATATTGTCACCACGTATACAACTTAATTAAAATATACTTTTATTCTCGTTAAAAGAATAAAAATAAAAGAGTTAAAGAATTTAAATTCAAAAATAAAAAAAAAAATCCCTAGGGTACCTTCTGCTTCACTTCAACACATGCTCTGCTTCGCTTCTGCCAGAAACTAAACAATTTTTTGTGTCCAGGGATATTTATTTTTATGAAAAGATTTTTCCATTCATTGATATTCAACCCCCTGATCCGTCCAATCCTTTACCACTACCTTCTATCACCTTATTTGATAACCATGATCCATAGTTTCTTCATTTGGACACAAGTATTTTCTTACTGTTATTGATGATGCAACTAGATATACGTGGATATACTTGATGAAACTCAGATCAGAAACACCAAATCACATAAAATCCTTCATTTACCTTGTGGAAACTCAGTTTGGGGTTAAGGTCAAGACTCTTAGATTTGATAATGGGAAAGAATTCATGCTGAATGATTTTTATAATCACAAAGGCATCATCCACCAAACTTCTTGTGTTCAAACTCGCAACAGAAAGGTATAGTGGAAAGGAAACATCAACATATGTTTTCTATGGCTCGAGCTCTTATGTTTCAATCTAATATGCCGAAGTTATTTTGGAACCATGCAATTAACCATGCCACTTTCCTTATTAATAGGCTGCCAACCCGTTATTTGGATCACAAATCACCTTATCAAGCTTTATTTCAATGCCTCCCTGATATTAATTCTTTAAAAGTATTTGGTTGTCTTAGCTTTGCAACAACACCAAATGCTCATAGAGGCAAACTTGACCCTCGAGCCAAGAAATGTGTGCACTTGGGTTATAAACCAGGCACAAAAGGATATTTACTATTTGACATTGAAACTAAACAATTTTTTGTGTCCAGGGATATTTATTTTTATGAAAAGATTTTTCCATTCATTGATATTCAACCCCCTGATCCGTCCAATCCTTTACCACTACCTTCTATCACCTTATTTGATAACCATGATCCATGGTTCCAATCCACACAAACCCCTGTCAATCCAACCAACCAAACAACCAGTCCAACAGTTTTGAAAAACTCATCTTCATCCAGCTTACCATGTAGAAAATCTACCAGAACACAAAAAACCCCAACCTACTTACAAGACTATCATCACTCTCTTCTTTCCTCAACTGCACCAAAAACCAAGTATCCTATTGACAACTACCTCTCTTATGATGCACTTTCCATAAAACATAAATTTCTTACCTTATCTATCTCTACAAACATTGAACCACACACATATGAGGAAGCAATTAAGCATGATTGTTGGAAACAAGCAATTGGTAATGAGTTAATTTCTCTTATGAACAACAAAACTTGGACAATTACTCCTCTTCCTCCTGGAAAAAGAGTTGTTGGTTGCAAGTGGATTTTTAAAATCAAATACAATACGAATGACTCTATTGCAAGGCACAAAGCTCGATTAGTTGCCAAGGGTTTTACTCAAACTGCTGGACTGGATTACTTGGAGACCTTCAGTCCTGTCATAAAAATGACAACTATTCGACTTATCTTATCATTAACTGCTTACCTCAATTGGCATCTGTTATCTCCCTTGGCAAATGTACCAAATCATATAAGTAGTTCAATGAAAGTATGAGTATCGTCTCCCAAGAGACTTGCGCAACACTTTGCAATTTCACTTGTTATACTAACTAAGCTACCAGAAAGCAATAAGAGTTTGATTTGTTGCAATAAATAATGTAAACAAGAAATAACAATCAGAAACACCAAATCACATAAAATCCTTCATTTACCTTGTGGAAACTCAGTTTGGGGTTAAGGTCAAGACTCTTAGATTTGATAATGGGAAAGAATTCATGCTGAATGATTTTTATAATCACAAAGGCATCATCCACCAAACTTCTTGTGTTCAAACTCGCAACAGAAAGGTATAGTGGAAAGGAAACATCAACATATGTTTTCTATGGCTCGAGCTCTTATGTTTCAATCTAATATGCCGAAGTTATTTTGGAACCATGCAATTAACCATGCCACTTTCCTTATTAATAGGCTGCCAACCCGTTATTTGGATCACAAATCACCTTATCAAGCTTTATTTCAATGCCTCCCTGATATTAATTCTTTAAAAGTATTTGGTTGTCTTAGCTTTGCAACAACACCAAATGCTCATAGAGGCAAACTTGACCCTCGAGCCAAGAAATGTGTGCACTTGGGTTATAAACCAGGCACAAAAGGATATTTACTATTTGACATTGAAACTAAACAATTTTTTGTGTCCAGGGATATTTATTTTTATGAAAAGATTTTTCCATTCATTGATATTCAACCCCCTGATCCGTCCAATCCTTTACCACTACCTTCTATCACCTTATTTGATAACCATGATCCATGGTTCCAATCCACACAAACCCCTGTCAATCCAACCAACCAAACAACCAGTCCAACAGTTTTGAAAAACTCATCTTCATCCAGCTTACCATGTAGAAAATCTACCAGAACACAAAAAACCCCAACCTACTTACAAGACTATCATCACTCTCTTCTTTCCTCAACTGCACCAAAAACCAAGTATCCTATTGACAACTACCTCTCTTATGATGCACTTTCCATAAAACATAAATTTCTTACCTTATCTATCTCTACAAACATTGAACCACACACATATGAGGAAGCAATTAAGCATGATTGTTGGAAACAAGCAATTAATAAGGAAAGTGGCATGGTTAATTGCATGGTTCCAAAATAACTTCGGCATATTAGATTGAAACATAAGAGCTCGAGCCATAGAAAACATATGTTGATGTTTCCTTTCCACTATACCTTTCTGTTGCGAGTTTGAACACAAGAAGTTTGGTGGATGATGCCTTTGTGATTATAAAAATCATTCAGCATGAATTCTTTCCCATTATCAAATCTAAGAGTCTTGACCTTAACCCCAAACTGAGTTTCCACAAGGTAAATGAAGGATTTTATGTGATTTGGTGTTTCTGATCTGAGTTTCATCAAGTATATCCACGTATATCTAGTTGCATCATCAATAACAGTAAGAAAATACTTGTGTCCAAATGAAGAAACTATAGAAATAGGACCTCATATGTCTAAATCTAGTAAATCAAAAGGATGTGCACAACATATGTTTTCTATGGCTCGAGCTCTTATGTTTCAATCTAATATGCCGAAGTTATTTTGGAACCATGCAATTAACCATGCCACTTTCCTTATTAATAGGCTGCCAACCCGTTATTTGGATCACAAATCACCTTATCAAGCTTTATTTCAATGCCTCCCTGATATTAATTCTTTAAAAGTATTTGGTTGTCTTAGCTTTGCAACAACACCAAATGCTCATAGAGGCAAACTTGACCCTCGAGCCAAGAAATGTGTGCACTTGGGTTATAAACCAGGCACAAAAGGATATTTACTATTTGACATTGAAACTAAACAATTTTTTGTGTCCAGGGATATTTATTTTTATGAAAAGATTTTTCCATTCATTGATATTCAACCCCCTGATCCGTCCAATCCTTTACCACTACCTTCTATCACCTTATTTGATAACCATGATCCATGGTTCCAATCCACACAAACCCCTGTCAATCCAACCAACCAAACAACCAGTCCAACAGTTTTGAAAAACTCATCTTCATCCAGCTTACCATGTAGAAAATCTACCAGAACACAAAAAACCCCAACCTACTTACAAGACTATCATCACTCTCTTCTTTCCTCAACTGCACCAAAAACCAAGTATCCTATTGACAACTACCTCTCTTATGATGCACTTTCCATAAAACATAAATTTCTTACCTTATCTATCTCTACAAACATTGAACCACACACATATGAGGAAGCAATTAAGCATGATTGTTGGAAACAAGCAATTGGTAATGAGTTAATTTCTCTTATGAACAACAAAACTTGGACAATTACTCCTCTTCCTCCTGGAAAAAGAGTTGTTGGTTGCAAGTGGATTTTTAAAATCAAATACAATACGAATGACTCTATTGCAAGGCACAAAGCTCGATTAGTTGCCAAGGGTTTTACTCAAACTGCTGGACTGGATTACTTGGAGACCTTCAGTCCTGTCATAAAAATGACAACTATTCGACTATTTTTTGTGTGTAGGCATAAGTCATTTTTCTTGTAGTGAATCTAAATCTATTGCTTATTATTATTATTATAGGAATTATTACCATAGAAAGTTTGTATCTCAAAATTACCTATTTGAAAGGCAAGACCCGTAAATGAAGAACAACTAGGACCTCCAGTTAGCCATAAAATAAGAGGATCTTTCTGAGGGTTATTCTCTGACTTAACAAAATAATAGAACACTTGCATATCATCATCGGTTTCTCCCAATCCCACATACCTGTTATTGTATTGAGTTCACCAAATTAAAATTCAATATCTTGAAACCGAGAAAAAGTAAAAGTGGTGTTGCTTACCCAGTTTCAAGTTCAAAAGGAAGAGGTCCTTCAAAGCCAGGAAGCACTTCTACCTTTGAGCCAGAGGTTCCAAGCTGAACGAAAATTGCAAGAACAAGTAGAAGAAAAAGGTGCAAACTAAAACACAAATTACAAGCCATGCTCATTCCAGAAAGCTGAAGTTTTTTCTTGAGCAGTTTTAGAAGTTGAAAATGGGATATAGGACGAGTGGTTGTCGACTTGTTATATTTTAGACGTAATTTAAGCCGGTTGGTTTAAAGTTATGTAATTTTTATATTAAAGTAAGAATTTATATTAAATTTATTTTGAGATAAACATGTTTATATACAAATTGTTTCACTTTAAATTTAACTTTAACATAACTTAATTTTATAAAATTAGAGTGATGAAAATCAAGTTTATAAAATTCAATCAATCATTCATGCACTGTTGATGTTGGCCTGTTGGGATTCCTAAAGGGGAATTCTCACGTGATCGTTTCTTTATTTGGAGAATCATTCATAAAATATTTTAATACATGTAGCTCCTATTATCCAACTGGCTAAAGTGATCAAACATCATGACGATGATTTTGTGAAATTCCTAATAAGAATGGGAAAATACCATACAGTCGTCACATAATCACAGAATTTGTTTGGATTCTTCGTAATGTAGAATAACTAATTTAATTTTAATGTGATATGAAGTTACGAGACTTTTTCATTTAATTAAAGAACTAGTCTTTAGAATAAAGTTATCGTCTGGAGCTTAAGTTTTAATAATTGATACTTTCATGAAAAAATTTACAGAAAGGACTACTTATAAGTTGAATAAAAGTGAAGTGTAACAAATACTGGTAGGTAAATAAAGTTCTTAAAGTAAAAAAAGAATGGTGTGCAATGGTGGACCTTTTATGTGATAGGGAGTCACAGTTTTTCCGAACTTTTTTTTAAAAAAAATTCTATATATACTCATATATATATATATATATTATATTTATATATTATGATATTATTAATTATAATAAAATTTAAAAAATTTGGAAGTCTAAATTTATTCTTTCTCTCCCACTTAACTTCTCAAACAAGTTTTTGTTTATTATCAACAAAACAAATAGCAATCGATTTTTGTTTGAAGTCTTTGTTCTTTCTTTTTAAGGATAATGTTATATTCTTCCTGTATCGCACACCTCCCTTTCGTCAGCCCGTCCTTGTTTCCCTCCATTATTGCTTTGTCAGTAGTTGAATTGATTCATATTTCTCTCTCAAAACCAATCACACACATTATTTTGTACAAGGTCGCATTTGCCACTTCTAAAACTGTAATTTGTTTATCTTTTATGTTATTTATTATCTTAGCAATTAGTTAAGATAAGATTAAAATCTTATCTCTTTTATTCTCTTAATATAAATAGCTTGTAAATATAATTCTATGAATAAAAAAAAAAACAGTTCTTTTTCTTTTCTTGGAAAGGCTCCTCTCTTAACATGGTACCAGAGCTCTTTTCCTAGAGTCCTGATTATCGCTGCAATCTCTGATTTTTCTTTCATTGAACTTCTTTTGGTCTTAACTATGATAGAAGCTACAGATCCTGAAAGCAACATGGTTGCATAGTTCACGGATCCTTTCTTTGTACATCCAAATGAAAATCCTGGTTCAGTGTTGATATCCTCTTTGTTGAATGGTGAAAATTACCACCAATGGTCAAGATCAATGAAGATGTGTCTCAAATCGAAGAATAAACTTCAATTCATCGATGAATCGTTACCAAAACCAGCAAATGATGATTCAAAATTCTTGGCCTGGGATCGGTGCAATACTTTGGTATTATCTTGGATCCTTCATTCTCTAGATTCTTCAATCGCACAAAGTGTACTATGGATGGACAATGCCGCTGAAGTATGGAACGATCTCCGTGACAGATACTATCAAGGTGATGATGCCTTCCGCATTTGTGAGTTGCAGGAGGAAATCTATTTACACAAACAAGGCAACTCTTCCATTACTACATACTTTACTCATCTCAAAGGATTGTGGCAAGAACTTAATAACTTTAGACCAATCCCTTCATGCACCTGCAAGGTACCTTGTTCTTGTCAATTAATTCCCACGGTGGTATCATATAGAGAAAATGATTATGTCATCAGGTTCTTAAAAGGCCTTAATGATCAATACTCTACTGTAAGATCCCAAATTATGCTCATGGAACCCCTTCCCAAAATCAATAAAGTCTTTTCTTTATTAATTCAACAAGAAAGACAAATGAGTGTACAACCTGATATAACACAAATCCTTATGAATAATACTGAAAGTTACGTTGGAGGAAGAGGGGATTTTGGAAGAGGAAGACGAAGAGGCCGAAATCACAATTTTAGTGGACAAGGATACAAGGGTCATGGCAAAAACAATAAAATGTGCACATATTGTAATAAATTTTGGCCATACTATTGATGTTTGTTACAAGAAACATGGATACCCACCTAATTACTTTCAAAAGACTAGTGCAGCCAACAATTACAATGTAGGGGATCAAATACAAGAGAATGATGATAATCATTCAATAGTTCGTGACCAAAAAGATGCTTCCAATTCTTCATTCACACCTGAACAACATCAGGCCCTCTTAGCTATGCTCCAAAAGGCGTCAGTAAACCATACTGCAAACCATATTGGGACCTCGCAGTCTACTAACAAATCAGGTACCATATGCAATATTATGCACATCATAGATTCCAAATCTTGGGTTCTTGATACTGGGGCTACCGACCATGTATGCAATTCCTTATCTCTTTTTCAATGCTATAAAAGGATAAGGCCTATAATTGTGAAATTGCCTAATGGATCATAAATAATTGCCAGTTTTGCTGGAATTATGAGTCTTTCTGAATATTTGATTCTCACTGATGTTCTATATATTCCGAGCTTTACTTTCAACTTGTTATCTATTTCAAGGTTGACCAGCACCACTGACAGCAAACTCACTTTTGATGGAAAACGATGTCTTATACAGGACACCAATACCTCGAGGACGACTGGTGTAGCTAGCCTAAAGAATGGACTTTACTGCATCTCATACCAACCACAATTAGAGCCCGACGATCATGTTTTAAATAATTTTCATTCTTACAAATGTAACACATGGCACTTGAGATTTGGCCATCCCTCTCATGAGAAGTTAGTTCAGATGAATAAAATTTATTTTAACATTGATTGCAATAAGATTGTTGATCCATGTGAAGTTTGTCACTTTGCTAAACAGAAGAGATTGCCATTCCCAGATAGTTACTCTAAATCTGCACATCCTTTTGATTTACTAGATTTAGACATATGAGGTCCTATTTCTATAGTTTCTTCATTTGGACACAAGTATTTTCTTACTGTTATTGATGATGCAACTAGATATACGTGGATATACTTGATGAAACTCAGATCAGAAACACCAAATCACATAAAATCCTTCATTTACCTTGTGGAAACTCAGTTTGGGGTTAAGGTCAAGACTCTTAGATTTGATAATGGGAAAGAATTCATGCTGAATGATTTTTATAATCACAAAGGCATCATCCACCAAACTTCTTGTGTTCAAACTCGCAACAGAAAGGTATAGTGGAAAGGAAACATCAACATATGTTTTCTATGGCTCGAGCTCTTATGTTTCAATCTAATATGCCGAAGTTATTTTGGAACCATGCAATTAACCATGCCACTTTCCTTATTAATAGGCTGCCAACCCGTTATTTGGATCACAAATCACCTTATCAAGCTTTATTTCAATGCCTCCCTGATATTAATTCTTTAAAAGTATTTGGTTGTCTTAGCTTTGCAACAACACCAAATGCTCATAGAGGCAAACTTGACCCTCGAGCCAAGAAATGTGTGCACTTGGGTTATAAACCAGGCACAAAAGGATATTTACTATTTGACATTGAAACTAAACAATTTTTTGTGTCCAGGGATATTTATTTTTATGAAAAGATTTTTCCATTCATTGATATTCAACCCCCTGATCCGTCCAATCCTTTACCACTACCTTCTATCACCTTATTTGATAACCATGATCCATGGTTCCAATCCACACAAACCCCTGTCAATCCAACCAACCAAACAACCAGTCCAACAGTTTTGAAAAACTCATCTTCATCCAGCTTACCATGTAGAAAATCTACCAGAACACAATCATCATCAGCTGCATCACCTTCCCCCTGCTGTTGAGCAGGGCCCTCTGGCCATGCTACATGAGCAGAATAAGCTGCAGCTGAAGGTGGATGAAAATTTGGGGCGAGTCCTGGTGCATGAATGGAAAGATTACGAACACTATCCGTCACCATAGTAATAGCTTTGAACATGGCCTCATCCCTCTGTTCACTGCGAAGCAAAGCAGCGTTAATATCTTCCCACCGTCGAGACTCCATATCACTAATTGGTGGTGGTGCTCGAGACGAAGAAGCTGAGGTAATGGCAGTCCTCCTATTAGTCTCCTTGTAGCAGTAGGTATCAATGTAAACTTTATTGATGGGCATCTTCAACTTCTCAAATGGTGTTTCAGTAACATCGACTCCAGCTCGATGACAAAGATGTGTAATGAGTGAAGGATGACCCAAGATACTTGTATGCTGGGCACAATGTCTAATTTCTTCAGCTATGAGGGCCCCAACATCAATAGATTTTTTATCCATAATAGCATATAGAAGTAGTGCCCTTGACTCCAGGACATCAGAAGTGTGGCAACAAGGAGAAAGATTGTCATGAATAAAAGCCACCCAAACTTTTTCCATTGGAATCAAATCTTCTCGGAGAATGTGAGATATCTTCCCCCTGCTCGTGTATTGAAATCCCTTCCCTGGTTTACAAACCGTACGTTCCACCAGCCTATAATTCTTGCTGCGGGCTACCCAATCAGAATACTCGCAGTACCTGAGGCCTTCAGTCAGATGAGTGCCTAGAAAAGTGTTAATGGTGGCGGCATCAAACCTGATCGTGATACCCCGAACATAGCTAGTGTACTCAGGGAACTCATTGCTAAGCCCGAGCATTGCAATAAAATTCCTGCACAATAGAAATGTTAGCAGGAGCCATGTAGGAGGCTAGCTTTTCCCACTTCCTTCTTTGTATTTCTGCTTGGAATTCTGGATATTCAATTGGCTTGAGTTTGGCCATCTTTTCCATCCAGAGACTTCTTTCTTCCCCTTATGATCAATTTGACTGCTCTCCTATTCCTAAGGTGTGGGAGAATTTTGTTTTTCGTAAGGGCTTCAAGGTTCTCAATAAATTCACTGTTTGGCTCAAAGTAGGGTGCAATGGATTCACTTTTTTGTTAGGTTGGCTTTTTGGTCAAGTGGCTCAAATTTACAAGAAAAATTGCCTTGATCATCTCTAAACAACATATGCTATGCAAACTCAAAAGAGACTCAAGCAAAATCAACCGCATGAAATCAAATGGTAACACTCTAACAGCAGGAGGGACCAAAACTCACATGGTCTAATAAAGGTGCTCAAAAATTTTCAAAAGAATCATGCCACAGTCATTAACCACAAAAGTAACAATCACACACTATCTCTAATCATCCCTAGAGTGCAACCACAAACATTTTTGATCTTGTGTCTAAAAATACCTTTGTTCACTAAGGGATACATGCACACCTGATTTGATTTTTTTTTTCAGTTTTCAAAATGCATTAAAACTAAACAGTCAGAGGCATTGAAATATGTATGCAACCAAAGGTAAAGGATTAATAAGAAGTACACAACAAGATAATCAAAACAAAATAACAGAACATAATAATAAAACACAATTTTCAAAGTGACACAGCTTAGTCTTCCTCCTCATCCTCTTCAACCTCATCCGACTCTTCTTCTTCTTCATCCTCATCCTCCTCCTCAGATTCCTCCTCAGACTCCTCATCATCATCAGCTGCATCACCTTCCCCCTGCTGTTGAGCAGGGCCCTCTGGCCATGCTACATGAGCAGAATAAGCTGCAGCTGAAGGTGGATGAAAATTTGGGGCGAGTCCTGGTGCATGAATGGAAAGATTACGAACACTATCCGTCACCATAGTAATAGCTTTGAACATGGCCTCATCCCTCTGTTCACTGCGAAGCAAAGCAGCGTTAATATCTTCCCACCGTCGAGACTCCATATCACTAATTGGTGAGATCGCACAAAGCTCGATTAGTTGCCAAGGGTTTTACTCAAACTGCTGGACTGGATTACTTGGAGACCTTCAGTCCTGTCATAAAAATGACAACTATTCGACTTATCTTATCATTAACTGCTTACCTCAATTGGCATCTGTTATCTCCCTTGGCAAATGTACCAAATCATATAAGTAGTTCAATGAAAGTATGAGTATCGTCTCCCAAGAGACTTGCGCAACACTTTGCAATTTCACTTGTTATACTAACTAAGCTACCAGAAAGCAATAAGAGTTTGATTTGTTGCAATAAATAATGTAAACAAGAAATAACAATTCTTTTTGGTATTTTGGTAAACACTTAGAGTGCAAAACTTGATTCTAATGCAATATTAATAAATTGTTGGGGTTTGACTTCACTAAACCTTCCTCTCATGCTTATCACTAAGTTCACAATAGTTATTATTTAGAATTTATCAATCACTCTCAAAAGTAACCAACCCTAATCTCTTACAAGTTGGCATCTAAGTTACTAGCTTAAACTATCAATCTCTTGCATAGTTTAACCTAGAAACCAGCTTTAAAAACAAGAGCTTAAGAAAGACCAATGGCATTTACTCTATCTCTAGCAATAAGCACCATTAGCTGCTCTATTTCAAGTCAAAGGTTTAAAATCATTTCTCAATCTCTTAAAAACCTTAAGTTCAAGTTAAGGGTGATCAAGCCATAACAAGCATTATGCACAGAAAAAGAGCAATAAAACTGAATAACAACTTAGATTGATAGCTTAGAGTTTACACATGAGAATGGGTTTAGTTACATCAAACCCCAACAAGGGTGAGTTTAGCTACACATAGACATGTAGAACTCTACAAATGATGAAGAAAGGAAGAAGCTTGATCTTGAAGGTTCCAGAGCTCTCCAGCCGCCACACAAAGTCCAAGAATGATCCTCCTTACTTCTCTCTTCGAAAATCCCACTTTTAGGTCATAAAAGCTTTTGTCTTATGTGAATAATGACATGTCAGCACAATCCACGCTAAGCCTCAGTTCCACGCTCAGCGTGGGAATCAAAATTCTGTTCCAGGGATTCTCTGCCATGCTGAGGCTAAGCGTGGATCTGGGGCTTAGCCTGGGAACTTAACCAAAAATTCCTTCAACTTCAAATTCACCACTTTGTGCTTGACTTCCTTCCTTCTTTCCTAGCTTTCTCCTAAACTACAAAACAACAACCAAATACTTGTAAGTTACCTAAAAACATGATTCAAAAATAAAATGTGATCACCTAACAATTTAGATATGTTTTGAGTTAAAAACAAAGTCTAAAGCAAGGAAAATTGATATAAGTGCTTCAAACTAGGCCATAAACTTAATGAAATCATAGCACTTATCAATACCCCAAACTTAAGATCTTGGTTGTCCTCAAGCAAAGAAAACTAAAGCAACTAAGTTAACACATAACCTAATCTCCTAATTAAACACGATTTGAAAATTGGTAATCACACAAAATAGCCATACATGTCTTCCAATAGTTGAACACCAGAAAATGTTTACACTTGATCAGCCAATTAATGTGGTTCCCACACAATTTGATATCAGAAGTGTATTGCAACAGTTCCCAAAGGGACTAACAAGCATGGCAATGATACTAATGAAAATTAGTGAACAACCTCTTCCTCACCAAGATCAGTGTTTCTCTCATCACACAAGTGTATTTAGGTGGGAATCTCTCAAATTAACACAAATGAATCACACAAGTCAACTTTTCTTTTCATCTCAATCAAATTCAAACAGTCACATAATCATGCATAGATCACAAGGTCTTTCATGGGTTGTAATGTGGCTGGGTTAACAAAAGAAATTGGTTTTTCTGGGTAAACAAAAGACATCACAGAAGTAGAAGAGCAAGTCTTAATGATCACCATGTATAATTCTTCTTCCTTTCTCTATCCCCAGAAGTCCCAAGATACTACCTTCACCCAAAGCACATAGATCATACAGCACACTTATTCACACAATTTAATCACTTTTTGATGTTTGATTTTATTTTATAAAAATAAGTAATTTTAAAATTTTTACAATAAAAAAATATTTTTCAAAATTATTACATTTTTTAATAAAGTTAATAAATAATATTCTATTCTCAGTTTTGGAACGGGCCGTTCTGATTTCAGAACGGACCGTTCTAGTGTACTCTTGGTGTGTAAATTTTGTATCGAAAACGGGCCGTTCCAAATGCAAAATTAACACACCAAAAACACTGCTCTCCTATTCCTAAGGTGTGGGAGAATTTTGTTTTTCGTAAGGGCTTCAAGGTTCTCAATAAATTCACTGTTTGGCTCAAAGTAGGGTGCAATGGATTCACTTTTTTGTTAGGTTGGCTTTTTGGTCAAGTGGCTCAAATTTACAAGAAAAATTGCCTTGATCATCTCTAAACAACATATGCTATGCAAACTCAAAAGAGACTCAAGCAAAATCAACCGCATGAAATCAAATGGTAACACTCTAACAGCAGGAGGGGCCAAAACTCACATGGGCTAATAAAGGTGCTCAAAAATTTTCAAAAGAATCATGCCACAGTCATTAACCACAAAAGTAACAATCACACACTATCTCTAATCATCCCTAGAGTGCAACCACAAACATTTTTGATCTTGTGTCTAAAAATACCTTTGTTCACTAAGGGATACATGCACACCTGATTTGATTTTTTTTTTCAGTTTTCAAAATGCATTAAAACTAAACAGTCAGAGGCATTGAAATATGTATGCAACCAAAGGTAAAGGATTAATAAGAAGTACACAACAAGATAATCAAAACAAAATAACAGAACATAATAATAAAACACAATTTTCAAAGTGACACAGCTTAGTCTTCCTCCTCATCCTCTTCAACCTCATCCGACTCTTCTTCTTCTTCATCCTCATCCTCCTCCTCAGATTCCTCCTCAGACTCCTCATCATCATCAGCTGCATCACCTTCCCCCTGCTGTTGAGCAGGGCCCTCTGGCCATGCTACATGAGCAGAATAAGCTGCAGCTGAAGGTGGATGAAAATTTGGGGCGAGTCCTGGTGCATGAATGGAAAGATTACGAACACTATCCGTCACCATAGTAATAGCTTTGAACATGGCCTCATCCCTCTGTTCACTGCGAAGCAAAGCAGCGTTAATATCTTCCCACCGTCGAGACTCCATATCACTAATTGGTGGTGGTGCTCGAGACGAAGAAGCTGAGGTAATGGCAGTCCTCCTATTAGTCTCCTTGTAGCAGTAGGTATCAATGTAAACTTTATTGATGGGCATCTTCAACTTCTCAAATGGTGTTTCAGTAACATCGACTCCAGCTCGATGACAAAGATGTGTAATGAGTGAAGGATGACCCAAGATACTTGTATGCTGGGCACAATGTCTAATTTCTTCAGCTATGAGGGCCCCAACATCAATAGATTTTTTATCCATAATAGCATATAGAAGTAGTGCCCTTGACTCCAGGACATCAGAAGTGTGGCAACAAGGAGAAAGATTGTCATGAATAAAAGCCACCCAAACTTTTTCCATTGGAATCAAATCTTCTCGGAGAATGTGAGATATCTTCCCCCTGCTCGTGTATTGAAATCCCTTCCCTGGTTTACAAACCGTACGTTCCACCAGCCTATAATTCTTGCTGCGGGCTACCCAATCAGAATACTCGCAGTACCTGAGGCCTTCAGTCAGATGAGTGCCTAGAAAAGTGTTAATGGTGGCGGCATCAAACCTGATCGTGATACCCCGAACATAGCTAGTGTACTCAGGGAACTCATTGCTAAGCCCGAGCATTGCAATAAAATTCCTGCACAATAGAAATGTTAGCAGGAGCCATGTAGGAGGCTAGCTTTTCCCACTTCCTTCTTTGTATTTCTGCTTGGAATTCTGGATATTCAATTGGCTTGAGTTTGGCCATCTTTTCCATCCAGAGACTTCTTTCTTCCAACTTGGGATAAAATTCTTGATGTTCCTTGTCAGGAAGGTGTGGGAGTCAAATGAAGGGCCACGAAATGGTCCCCCTGCAGTAGTTTTAATTCTTTTCTCCGGGTGTGTCTT